CAGGAACAGGGTTGGCCATCCCTGCTCTAGAGTGTCACCTCTTGGTGATGCTATGCTCTTTGGCATGGCTAACATACTAAACCACGCCCCTCTAGCTGTCAGTTTTGACAACAAACAGAAATGGTGAGGAGGAGGAGTCGGTTCTAATAACTTTCTCCAACCACTTTTCCTCATCCTTCTGAATGAAACGCCTACTTTACTACATCCAATCAGCTCACAGTAGAACAAATAAGCCACTCCCACTGTTTTCTCATTTAATATTCAGTTTCTCTGTCACAATATGAACAAAATGGTCACAGCGACTGGTTCATGCGGATGATGGCTAAAAACACTGCTGTCTGAAACACATTTGACGTCATTATAGTAAAGAAATGTGGATCAGTCTTCTTTCCTCTTTATTTTTACCTCTAGAACGAGTATAACTGCTGGAAGCCGACAGTCTGTATGAATTTCTGCAGCGATTTCTTGACCTTCGTCAAATCCATCGTCAAAGAGGATGACCCAAGGTAAGAGGACTTGAAAATGTGTCAGCGTTAACTCAAATTTATTCGCCCTTCTGTGAATTTCTTTGTCAAGTATTTCCCAAATGATATTGAACAGATTCAGGAATTTCTCACAGTATTTCCTATAATATTTTTTCTTCTGAAAAAAGTCTTTTTTATTTTATTTCGGCTAGAATCAAAGCAGTTTATAATTGTTTTAAAGCCATTTTAAGGTCAATATTATTAGCCCCCATAAAGGGCCATGAAAGCCCCTGGTTTCAGCAGGATGTTTTCACACCTCTACTTTGGAAAAAGTCTGAAAAGTGGGCGTGTCCAGCTCTGTTTAGGGGGGAGTGTCGGAGGAACTAAAGTGGGAGGGTGTGGGAGTGTCTGTTTGGGTGCGCTGAGTTTCAGAGTCAAAATACACACACACAGGGGAGAAAGTGATTGTGTTTACATGGACATCTGTAGTCTAATTATTTGGCTAATTATTAAATGGTGGACTTTAACTGCAGTTTGGCTCTTTCATTCAAAGAATTCATTCATGTCCCTCACGACAAACGAGATATTTGATTGGAGGAGCTGCTCTAAGCGTGTATTTTTCATGCAATGTTTGAATCCGCACGGCGAATGAGAGAAAAAAACCCTCCGCATTTCCCGGAAACTTAGATGCACACGGCAGGTAGCGTCAGAAAGCCGCGTGTGTTATTCCGGTCACAAAATGCGGTGAAAATCCTACACGAGGTTAAAGTTTGGTTGTGGTGCTAACATGTTTACACTCAGAGCAATAGTTAACTTAGTTCGATACGAACAAACTGAATAAACAAAGAGCACTGGTCGCTCCAAATCTGTAGAGACAGGACAATCACCAGCAACTAGAGCCGCGTCTTTATTAAGAGGAGACGAGCAGCGAATCCGGATCTCAGCGTTTGCAGATGAGAACAGCTCTCAGGTAAACAATAATCCTCCTCAGACACGTAAGTTATTGTTGTCGAGCGTCGCGTACACTGTTAATCCACACGTGACTCCAGCTGAGCTCTCACAGAGAGAAGATGAAAACATAACGGCAGCAAACTATAAAAGCAACACTTCACGCTTGTTTTGCCAACACAACGTGGCGTCTCTGTCGTCTAAACACTGTGACAGTAATGAATATTAATGAAGTTGCACAATAGAGCGCGCTGATTGGTTTGAACCAAGCTTTACTCATGCATTAATGCATCACACTGTAAGACGTAATAAGACTCACTCAGGCACAGTCGTCCAGTCTGCACGCTGGAATACACGATATTATGTCATGGCCGTGACGCAGCTTCAAACATTTGCTTCAAACAGGAAGTACAAATTTGCTTGAAATAACGCAAAAACAACCAATTTACACTTTTTAGTGAAATATAGGTGTCCTAATAGTGTTTTTAGCAGTGTGGGACACATATACCACTGTCAACAGCACAAACACATGTGTTCTGGTGTTTTGTGACCCTTTAAGCAATATTAGTGTTGGATTGTCTCCAGAACAAACCACTGTTATACAATGACTTGCCTAATTACCCTAACTTTACCCTAATTACCCTAGTGAAGCCTTTACATGTCACTTTTGAGCTGAATACTACTGTCTTGAAGTCAAATATTATTTACTGTCATCATGACAATGATAAAATAAATCAGTTTTTAGCAATGAGTTATTAAAACGATCATCTTTAGAAATGTGTTGACAAATCTTCTCTCTGTTAAACACAAATTTGGGGGAAAATATACAGGAGGGCGAATGCTACTGATCAACAACTGTGTGTCGATCTTGCCATGAATTAAGTTGCTAATGTGACCACAAACAAACAGAGATGTGCTGTGCTGTTGTTGTTTCAGACTGGTGTACCTGTTTTCCTGGGATCCACGCAGAGACGTGACGTACACCGTCCACAGAGACTCCACACACACTTTTATACCTGACTGGTACATAAAGGACATGACGAGCCGCCCTGCATCAGACCACTGACACACACACACACACACACACACACACACACACACACACACACACACACGCACACTGACTGCATGTTCATCAATCACACACACAGACACACTGAATCACTCCAGCTTGCATTTTCTCTGGATTCAGCTTGTGATTCTGGAATTGAATGGAATCCACCTGCACTATTGTTTATTTTGTAAGTATATCTGTATTTCAGCCTTATTATTATTTATAATAATGAATTGAAAATGTCCTTGGGGATTTTTTAAACGATGTACATAGTCGATGTTTTTTGTAATTAGCATTTTTACAGTTCTATAAAATTCTGTGGGCCGTATTTGATGAAACAGGAGTAAAATCTGTGTGTTTTTGTCAATTTTGGTCACTTTACATTAATGTTTCATAAGTTAATGTTAGTTCATGGATTTATTAATATGACCTAATCATGAACAATACTCGTACAGCATTTATTAATGCATTATTAACTTCCAAATGCAGGCCTGTTAATGTTACGGTGCAGTAGTTAATGCACTGTGCTTCCATTAACTAACGTTAACAGAGATGAATAAATACTGTATTAAATGTGTTCACTGCCTGTTCATCTTAGTAAATGCATGAACTAATGCAACCTTACTGTAAAGAGTTACTGAAATCTTTATTAGTGCATCATGAACAGTGTTGGGGGAGTTAGTTACTCAATAAGTAATGTTAGTGGCTTCATTCAACACGATTTAAAACTCCTAAACATCTCAACAAATAGAGATTAAACTTTACGTTTGAGCCTTTAACTTTTAATTTTTAAATGCAGTGCATACAGAATAACATACATGAGATTTTATGCATGAAAACACTTAAAAGCATTATTTTATATACTATATTGACACACATTTCAGACTCAATCCATTGTTTCTTAAGTGTGGTCAGCCGTTTTAATGAATGAAACCTTCTCTAGCTGAAAAATGTAGTTATTATGCATGATATATTTGTATAACAAAAACACAATCACTTATTTAGAACTGTTGAATGTATTTACTGTATTTAAGGCAGGTACATTACAAGTAACTAATTAAATGACCTAGAAATAATTAAGAATAATCTCTTACTTAATTTTCAGGTTATTTAATTAGTTACTGTAATTAGATTACTTTTCTGCTGGAAAAAGTAAAGAGATTACGTTAATATTATCATCAGAATAGTAATCTAATTACAGTAACTAATTAAATTACCTAGAAATGAAAAGTAATCCCTTATTTCCTGGTCATTTAATTAGTTACTTGTAATTAGATTACTTTTCTGCTGGAAAAAGTAGTCTAGTTACAGTAACTAATATAATTACAAGGAACTAAAGTAATCCTGTACTTTTTTCAGCAGAAAAGTAATCCAATTACAGTAACTAATTAGATGACCAAGACATGAAAAGTAATCCCTTAATTCCTGGTCATTTAATTAGTTACTGTAATTAATTACTTTTCTGCCATAAAAAGTATTTTCTTTACTTTTTCAGCAGAAAAGTAATATAATTGCAGTAACTAATTAAATGACCAGAAAAGAAAACTAATCCCTTTAGATAAGTAGTCTAATTGCATTAAATTCCCTAGAACTAAGTAATACCTTACTTTTTTAGAACAAAAAGCGACCTAATTGCAGTAATTAAACTGCAAGAAAATTAGTGGCCTTGGCCTGGAAGGTAATCCCTTATTTCCTGGAAATTTAATTAGTTACTGTAATTAGATTACTTTTCTGCTGAAAAAAGTAAAGAGATTACTTTAATATTTTCATCCAAATAGTAATCTAATAACAGTAAATAATTAAATTACCTAAAAATGAAAAGTAATGCCTTTTATTTGCTGATCATTTAATTAGTTACTGTAATTAGATTACTTTTCTGCTGGAAAAAGTAATCTAGTTACAGTAACTAATATAATTACAAGGAAATAAAAAGTAATCCTGTACTTTTTTCAGCAGAAAAGTAATCCAATTACAGTAACTAATTAGATGACCTAGACATGAAAAGTAATCCCTTAATTCCTGGTCATTTAATTAGTTACTGTAATTAGATTACTTTTCTGCTGAAAAAATAAAAAAAGTATTACCAGAAAAGAAAACTAATCCCTATAAATAAGTTGTCTAATTGCATTAAATTATCTAGAAATAATAAGTAATCCCTTACTTTTTACTACAAAAAAGTAATTAATTACAGTAACTAATTACACTCAACACTGATCATGAATACAAGCACAATTTAACCAAAGTGAGAAAAACAAATCATGTTTTAGGATTGTTTTCTTAAACTGTGGCCTGATCTTTTATTTTTCCAAATGTACTTTCAGGATATGATTTGTAAAAAACTCACAGAGAACTCGCTCTGAGCAGGACTTCTTAAATCTTTATTAGCATTCATATGCGGTTTGCCATTCATAAAAACATGCCAAAAAAGTGCACATACAGTTGAATAATGTGTTCTAGGACAAAATTAATTTACAAAATGTATGCTATTTAAAAGTTAACAAAAAAACTCTAGTACAAAGCTTTAGTAGCCTGTAACTGTTTTGTTGTCCAGTCTTCAGACTCGCAGATCAGACGTCTGTAAACTACATTTATTTAAGGCAGATCTGGTGTGAATAGCTCATGTCTACACTCAACGCTTTTAAATGCCTTTCATCAATGCCGAATTGCAATAGCTATCTTGTAAGTACATGTAAATAAAAATGTTTGACATATTTTCTTCATAATTTGAGAGCTATGCTAATTAATGCAATAAATTCAACATCCTCTATGTACGTTATTGCTGCTTATTTTTTATAATTATTTATCCATTTTATTGCACAGTTGAAGACAAAAATTATTAGCCTGTGAAATTATTCTTTTAAATATTACTATATAATGCCCCATATCAATTGAGTGCTATTATTATTAGCCACTTTCTCATTATGATTACAGTAACAAGTTATGATTCTGATGTCTCAATTTGACATTTTTTAGTTTTCTAAGTTCACACATTCATCATTTATTATTTTATGCTACTTTTTCTATCATAAAAATGGACTATAAGACATTTTAGATGCACTGTGGTGGTCATTTCTAGACCCATTTATTGCTTTAATGATATTAGCTGCTAACAAGATATAATTAGTGGTTAATCTGGCCAACGTTTATGTGCGTAATGTCAGTTTATATGTTGTGGAACCATGTATGGTGACTTTACTGACATTGCTTGCAACATACACTCACTGGCCGCTTTATTAGGTACACCTGTCCAGCTGATCGTTAATGCAGATTTCTTTTCGGCCAATCGCATGGCAGCAACTCAATGCATTTAGCCATGTAGACATGATCAAGACGATCTGCTGCAGTTCAGTTTGGGATGTGGTGGAACGGGAGATTGGCATCATGGATGTGCAGCCGACAAATCTGCAGCAACTGTGTGATGCTATCATGTCAATATGAAGGAATATTTTCAGTATCTTGTTGAATCTATGCCATGAAGGATTAAGGCAGTTCTGAAGGCAAAACGGGGTCTGACATGGTACTAGTAAGGTGTACCTAATAAAGTGGCCGGTGAGTGTATATGTTTTTTTTTTAAGTAATAAACAACCCTTAGTAGCACTCCCGGGTTTTTCCAATGAGTATTTTAAATAAGGATTAAAGGTTTCATCGTTTTAGCAAGGTAACTAAACTATTTGTTAGTCCCCACTAAAATATAAACAACCAACTAATCATATTACAGTATTCAGGGTCCGACAAAAAAATGAGGATTAGAATATAAAATTACGATGTTCTCATTCAATATATTATACGTTTTGTCAATTTAATGCAAAAATGTGCATAGCTACTGTTTACTTCATAGGTCTAAAATAATATTTACTTTAAAATCATGAAAATGGTGCTGATCAGAAATGGCTTTTTTGTACTTGACGATCATCTTTAATTAAATAGTTCACGCTAAAATGAAAACTGACATAATTTACTCGTCCTCAACTTTATATAAGTTTCTTCCGTTGAACACAAAGGAAGATATTCTGAAGAATGCTGGAAAACAGGCTTCCATTGTAACAACATACAAGACTCATAATGTGCAATAATATTAATATTAATTAAGATAACAATAATAATGCACAAAAAAAAGGTAGGTATTCTTCAGGATATCTTCTAAACTCTATTTAAAATTTTCATTTCCGAGTGAACTATCCCTTTAAATTCAGAAAAAATGAATGCTTTGCTTTAGAAATAACAGAAGACTCATGTGGCACAGATTTAGCCTTTTAGCTCTACATGATGTTAAACATCAGTAACTTGATCATGTAAACATTTTTTTAGAAAAGTAACATGTTAAAAACTAAAACTGCATATAACTTAAGATTTTTTTTCTTTAAACTGACCTGTGCTGGCTGATGGGATATGTGTGTGTGTGCACTGACTTTGGTGGTTTACAAGGACAAAAATTCATGGGTATGACCTATATGGACTCCGTTAAGGTGGTTTACAAGGACATGCCTTGTGTCCTCGTAATTCAAAACTGTTAAAAGTCAGGTTAAACAAGGTCTTTTCACATTTGAATTTGCCGTAGGTTTGGGTTTAGAGTAGCGCTGCACAATAATGGAAAAATATTTGCGATATTGTTGCTCATTATTACAATAAAATAGAAAAAAAATCCTATTTTTTTTTAGCTGTTTTCAATTAATTTAATAATATTAAAATAAAAAGCTGCATGATGCTGGAAAAATCTGATGTTGATGTTAAGTATTGTGATTAATGATAGTTCTTACGATGTAACACTTCCCTAGAAAAATACTGTTTTAATTAGCCGTTTTCGTTTAATAATATTAAAATAAACAGGTAAAATATACCTCTTAGATCTAATTAATTTTAATTCAGGCTTAAAAACTGTCAAGAGGGAAACATTAAAGCTGCGGTCACGCTTGGCTTTTCCTCCCATAGTCTTCCACTCATGCGCATGCAAATGCGTCAGATCGGAAACGCAGGATCATGCGTCCACTTTCGCAAGTTTAAGCTTGGTGAACTCTGACCTGCGAAATCGCATCACTTGACTGCGTAAGAACAATCAAGGATCAAAACATGACCTCTCTGGACAGAAATTTAACAAGGAGCAATCGCTCACTTTTTTAAATGTCTAATAAGCTTGTTTTATCCCGCCCCTTTTCGCAGCGCCGTACGACAGAATATCACATGCTCAAACTCTAATGTGACTGCAGCTTTAGTCTGTAAAACACAATGAATGAGTGAAACCTCATTGTCTGACTCTAATTGGCTGTTGTCATTTTCCCGCCATTACTGATTATTTTCACATCTGCGACTCTCCAGCCAATAGCAAAACAGCAACTACTGGGAAGGCGGGGCTATAAGAAGCAAGGTCCCATCTGATTGGTCAACTTTAGATCAACAGCACATAAAATAAATGTAATTAATCACATGTGTCTGCGATACCATGATCGCGATAACGGTAATTTAGCGATATATTGTGCAGCTCTAATTTAGGGGTAGGGCAATATAATCTATATGTACTCTGTTAAGGTGGGTTAAGAGGACATACTTTGTGTCCTCGTAATTCAAAACCGTTAAAAAACCCTTTAAACGAGGTCTTTTCACATTTTAAATTGCCACTGGTTTAGGTTTAGAGTAGCGCTGCACAATAATGAAACAAATATGCGATATTGTTGATGATTACTACAATATAATGGAAAAAATTCTATTTTTATTTGCTGTTTTCAAATAATTTATTCAAAATAAAAAAGCTAGGGCTGCATGATACTGGAAAAGTACACGATGTTGGTGTTGAGTATTGCGATAACAATATTTCTCACGATGTAACATTTCCCTAGAAAAATGCTGTTTTAATTATCTGTTTTAAAATCATGAGTATTTAATATTACTAAGAGTAAACAGGTAAAATATAACTCTTAGATCTATTTAATTCTAATTCAGACTTAAAACTGTGTTGAAGTGCAAACGTTTAGTCTTTAAAACACTATGAATGAGTGAAAAGCTCCGCAGATAGTCTGACCCTGATTATTATTGCTATTTGTGTTAATGTAGAGCACTTTGGTCAGCCCTAGCTGTTTAAACTTAAGCGTATTACGCCTATGGAGAGTCCTCATAAACCACCAATACCAATGTGTGTGTGTTAGAGAGGTAGTGGTGGGTCAATCTCTCGGTACTCAAGGCTAGAGTGTGTGTTGTCAGTGCTTGAGTTTCCTCTGAAGGCCCATGAGTCTGAATGTGGCGGCGGTGATCTTCTCGTACACCACAAACATGAGTGCCGCCGTCAGCACCGTCTGAAGCAGCTTCGCCTCCAGACCTTTATACAGACCCAGCAGCCCGTGTCTCCTGTTAAACACAGAGCAGCTTAATAGAGATATGGCGAGTGCATTTTAGTTTTAGTGGCAATTTACAAAAGGCATTGTTCTTGCTTGGATTTGAACAGTAGATGGTGCTCTTGGCTAGCTTTGTACAGCGGATGGCGCTCTAGGTGAGTCTTTAACAGCAGACGGCGCTCTAGGCTAGTTTGCACAGCAGACGGCGCTCTAGGCTAGTTCACACAGCGAACGGCTCTCTAGGCTAGTTTATACAGCGGACGACGCTCTAGGCTAGTTTGCACAGCGGACGGCGCTCTAGGCTAGTTTGCACATCGAACGGCGCTCTAGCCTAGTTTGCACAGCGGACGGCGCTCTAGGCTAGTTCGCACAGCGGACGGCGCTCTAGGCTAGTTCGCACAGCGGACGGCGCTCTAGGCTAGTTCGCACAGCGGACGGCGCTCTAGGCTAGTTCGCACAGCGGACGGCGCTCTAGCCTAGTTCGCACAGCGGACGGCGCTCTAGGCTAGTTCGCACAGCGGACGGCGCTCTAGGCTAGTTCGCACAGCGGACGGCGCTCTAGGCTAGTTCGCACAGCGGACGGCGCTCTAGGCTAGTTCGCACAGCGGACGGCGCTCTAGGCTAGTTCGCACAGCGGACGGCGCTCTAGGCTAGTTCGCACAGCGGACGGCGCTCTAGGCTAGTTCGCACAGCGGACGGCGCTCTAGGCTAGTTTGCACAGCGAACGGCCCTCTAGCCTAGTTTGCACAGCGGACGGCGCTCTAGCCTAGTTTGCACAGCGGACGGCGCTCTAGGCTAGTTCGCACAGCGGACGGCGCTCTAGGCTAGTTCGCACAGCGGACTGCTCTAGGCTAGTTCGCACAGCGGACGGCGCTCTAGGCTAGTTTGCACAGCGGACGGTGCTCTAGGCTAGTTTGCACAGCGGACGGCGCTCTAGGGTAGTTTGCACAGCGGACGGCGCTCTAGGCTAGTTTGCACAGCAGACGGCGCTCTAGGCTTGTTTGCACAGCGAACGGCGCTCTAGGCTAGTTTGCACAGCGGATGGCGCTCTAGGCTAGTTTGCACAGCGGACGGCGCTCTAGGCTAGTTTGCACAGCGGGCGGCGCTCTAGGCTAGTTTGCACAGCGGACGGCGCTCTAGGCTAGTTTGCACAGCGGACGGCGCTCTAGGCTAGTCTGCACAGCGGGCGGCGCTCTAGGCTTGTTTGCACAGCGAACGGCGCTCTAGGCTAGTTTGCACAGCGGATGGCGCTCTAGGCTAGTTTGCACAGCGGATGATGCTCTAGTCTACTAGTTTGCACAACGGATGGTGTTCTAGGCTAGTTTTCACAGCGCATGGCGCTCTAGGCTAGTTTGCACAGCCGATGGCGCTCTAGGCTAGTTTGCACAGCCGATGGCGCTCTAGGCTAGTTTGCACAGCCGATGGCGCTCTAGGCTAGTTTGCACAGCCGATGGCGCTCTAGGCTAGTTTGCACAGCCGATGGCGCTCTAGGCTAGTTTGCACAGCCGATGGCGCTCTAGGCTAGTTTGCACAGCCGATGGCGCTCTAGGCTAGTTTGCACAGCCGATGGCACTCTAGGCTAGTTTGCACAGCCGATGGCGCTCTAGGCTAGTTTTGACTAGAGACTCCGCTCTACCTGAAAATGTAGAAAATCGTGAATCGTATATTTTGATCTTCACTGTATAGGGCTGTAAAGTCTGGCAGCTTAGGTGAACTTACTTGATCCGGTCCATTAGCAAAGAAACCACATTCCTCAGGCTGCCCACCAGCCCACCTTTATCATCTGATTTATACTGGCCAAACTGCAGAGGAAGAAAGCACAGCACCAATGAACAGCAGTCACATGTATTATCCAGCATATCATCTTTAATATGATCATGCAGAGGTCATTACCCTGAGAATGGCCTGAACCGTCTGCAGAGGATACGTCGCAGTCGTTGCGATAGCTTTAGCGATGGCACCGATGAGAAAGATCTCGAATGAGGAGATCTGTCCGTAAAGATGAAATGTAGAAGTCGTTTAACACACTCTTAAAGGAACAGTTCACCCCTAAAACTGAAGAATTCTGTCGTCATTTAGTTGTTCAAAACCTAAAGATGATATTTAGTAAGCAGGGTTCCCTTTCTAAACCAAATATAAAATGACGACTTTTAATGACTTTAAAAAGCTGAATTAGCTAAATTGAATGCAAAATCAGTGTTTAAAATAAATAAAAAAATTAGCTTGCAATTGTTTAAATTGCACCAGATTTGATGCAGATTTTAGTCAGCCAGGGCAACATTCAAATTCAGATTTTTCATATATTTTGAGCAACAGTTTTTTGTTAATTTGCAACAAGAATATTATAGGTGTAAAGCATTTCTTTGCTACAGCAATACAATTTTTTTATGTTTTTAGAGGCTAAATTCAATTCAAATAACTGTCCATACTATTTTCGAATTGGATGTCTACTTTACAGATATTGTAAAAACAAACAAACTGTTTATACCTCTCAAAACATAGAGGGCGCCTTTGTATGGTTATCAATGTAAACTGGATGTCACCTGGTGGTTATGTCTGGTACTGCAGCCAAGCAGTATTTGACTCATTTTCTGAGATCTCAACTTCAAATTTGAAATTGAATTTGTTCAGAGAAAAAAAATCACCAGCCACTTTATTAGGTAAACCCGTCCAACTTCTCGTTAATGCAAATTTCCAATCAGCCAATCACATGGCAGCAACTCAAAGCAATTAGGCATGTAGACATGGTCAAGACGATCTGCTGCAGTTCAAACTGAGCATCAGAATGGGGAAGAAAGGGGATTTAAGAGACTTTGAACGGGGCATGGTTGCTGATGCCAGACAGTAGTTTTCAGAAACTACTAGGATTTTCACGCACAACCATCTCTAGGGTTAACAGAGAATGGTCTGAATAAGAGGAAATATCCAGTGAGCGGCAGTTCTGTGGGCGCAAATGCCTTGTTGATGTCAGAGGTCAGGGGGAGAATGGCCAGACTGGTTCCAGCTGATAGAAAGGCAACAGTAACTCAAATAAGCACTCGATACAACCGAGCTCTGCAGAAGAGCATCTCTGAACACACAACACGTCCAACCTTGAGGCGTATGGGCTACAGCAGCAGAAGAGCACACCGGGTGCCGCTCCTGTCAGCTAAGAACAGGAAACTGAGGCTACAATTCACACAGACTCACCAAAACTGGACAATAGAAGATTGGAGAAACGTTGCTGCTCTGATGATTCTCCATTTCTGCCGACACATTCAAATGGTCGGGTCAGAATTTGGCATTGACAACATGAAAGCATGGATCATCCTGCCTTGTATCAGCGGTTCAGGCTGGTGGTGGTGGTGTAATGGTGTGGGGGAGAATTTCTTGGTACACTTTAAGTCCATTAGTACCAATTGAGCATCAACGCCACAGCCTACCTGAGTATTGCTGCTGACCATGTCCATCCCTTTATGAGCACAGTGTCTCCATCTTCTGATGGCTACTTCCAGCAGGATAACGCAGCATGTCATAAAGCTCAATCATCTCAGACTGGTTTCTTGAACATGATGAGGAGTTCACTGTACTCAAATGGCCTCCACAGTCACCAGCTCTCAATCCAATAGAGCAGCTTTGGGATGTGGTGGAACGGGAGATTGGTATCATGGATGTGCCGCCAACAAATCTGCAGCAACTGTGTGATGCTATCATGACAATATGGAGCAAAATCTCTGAGCAATATTTCCAGCTTTTTCAATCTCCGCCATGAAGGATTACGGCAGTTTTGAAGGCAAAACAGGGTCCAAACTACTACCAGTAAGGTGTACCTAATAAAGTGGCCGGTGAGTGTACATCTTCAAGTTTAGGCTAAAACAGATTTGTAATATACATATTTTATATAGTATAATGAAATATACATTTAATGTTTTCTAAACATAGAGGCACATCACTTTTGTTTTCTTTCTACAATTTGACATCTGTCTTTTTTAAATGAGACCAAGCTTAAATCTGTGCACCAAAGCCTTGAAGACCGGCAATCACTTAAGCTGAACATGTCATGTTCATGTCTATGCTCAAAACGTGGGGGCAACAGGGTTGAAGAGTGAAATAAATGAACGTTATTTGGTCGCTCACCTTTCGTCCTCCACGTCCGGCTTTTCGCTTCATGGCCTCATAAAACATGAACTGCACAGCAGGGTTAAAGACGAGAACAAGAGATGGCAGCGTCCCGTTCCACAGCGTCCCGACTCCCTCATGAGCGATGATCTGAGAGAAGGCGTCTGTAAGAGGAGATCAGCAGGATTCATTCAGTGCTACAGCGCAGCTCTGCTCCGCTCATTATTACTGAAGGAGAAATTATTCGGCCCTCCTGTGAAATTGATAATTTTTCAAATACTTAACAATAATTTTTCCCAGCTGGACCAGTTGGTATTTCTGTATGGAGTTTGCATGTTCTCTCCCGTGTTGGTGTTGGTTTTCTCCGGGTGCTCCAGTTTCCCCCACAGTCCAAACACATGCGCTCTAGGGGAATTGATGAACTAAATTGGCCATAGTGTATGAGTGTGTGTATGTGTATGGGTGTTTCCCAGTACTAGGTTGCAGCTGGGAGGGAATCCGCTGCATAAAACATATACTGGAATAGTTGGCGGTTCATTCCGCTGTGGCGCCCCCTGATAAATAAGGGACTAAACCGAAGGTATGTGTGAATGTAGTGCGCCCTTATGAATGCGCGACGGATTGCTTTGACGGGAGGTCAGCTGACCCAGTTTATTGGTAGATATTGGGTCACCAGCTTTCGTGGTTTAGTCATCAAAGCGACCAGACTACAATCAGACTCTTTATTAAAGCTAATAATAATGTAAATAATGTTTATTTTCTTCCGCAGAGCAATCATTTTGCTTCACAAGACCTCAGTGTGTCATCAGGAGCCACGGCTATTGATTTGGACTTGTTTGTGTTTATTTTTAATCTAAAAAAATACCAAAAAAAAAAAAAAAAAAACAGTCCATTTACTGCCATTATATGAATGACCATAGATTCAGCTCAATTTTCTTAAAAGTTCTACTAAAGAAAAAAAAAAGTCACCAACATCTTGGATGAGCTGTCAGTGAGCAAACTAACAGGAAATGTTGATTTTTGCGTGAACTATCCCTTTAATTTGAGTGGAGGACACAATAAATGGCTGTTTTTCAACTGTGCGCTGTGTCTCAGCTGACTATAAAAGTGCTTCTCTTAGTAGGTGACTGGACCGATCATTAGTTTGTGGCTTATAATCATCAGAATAATAGTGTGTGTGTGTGTGTGTGTGTGTGTGTGTGTGTGTGTGTGTGTGTGTGTGTGAGTGTTTCTGACCAACTATGCCCTTGTAGTGGGTCTGGTGGAGCTCTTCATTCCTGAACTTTGCGCCCTGGAGCTTCAGCCGTGTGTTCACCACCCACATTGGTGTTGTCAGCAGAACATTGACCGCTCCTACAGGAGAAAAGACAGGAAGAATCAGTGTGTGTGTGTGTATATATATATGTATGTATATATATGTATGTATATATATATATATGTATGTATGTATGTATGTATGT